GATCTAAATAATTCGTATGCTTCACTACTGACAGCAAATACATCACTGATTTCAAATCTAACAACACTACATAGTCTTTTACAGATTGTAACAATAAATTTAAAAAAGACTTCATTGGAAGAGAATCAAGCATTTTAGATAATTGTCTAGCACAGCGCGGACAAACCATGAATAAAAATAAGATAGAAATTCCAGATAGCATTTACAAGATCTATTTAATTTAAATAACTTCTCTTTGATATATAAAAATCTCAAAATTAACAGTAAGCATTGCAAGGAATTCTAAGAGATTGATCCATGAAGTAAATTATTTTATTAAACACGAAAGTTTTTAGAAAAGAAGTAAATAAGAAAAATAACATTAAGTAAGACACAACATGAATTTCCCAATTCATACGAATTCAAAAACTGCAAACGACTCACTTTTTCACATAAAACAACTTTACGAGTGAACGTCTGATAAACCATATTACCAATAACAAGGAAAATCAAAGCCAATGAAACTGTTATCACAATCCCAGCTGAACCTTTGATTATCACTGCACCATAATCGGTTCCTCGCTATATAAATACATATCACATTACATTATTAATAACAAATTATCAAACAATACATAAAAAGGGAAATTCTCAAATAATCTAAATAAAGGGGATAAATTATGAAAATCATCTGCTGAAAAACAACAAATTATATTAAAAAAATTCGAACAGGGAAACATCTAACAGAAGGGATTTTAAAGCACATCTAATGTTGATATAATTGTTAATGGATGAATCATTTTGTTGCGATGGAAAGCCGATTTTGATTAAACTTTTCACAATTAAAATAAGTTTTTCTTTCTCAGAAATTCACAGTTTTTCTAGAAATTGCTTAAAATAAAATTTTCTTTTTCGAATATTCACTTATTTTCCAGAAATTGCGCTTCAAATCTTAGGAAAACTTGAATCATCTATCCTCTTTACACTATTCCCTTCCCTTCAGGTGCTTGATGTTTCTTTTCGAACCGAATGTGTTATCACCATTGCTGCAACAACAAATAATACAAGTATTTCAACCAAGCTAAAAAAGAACACACTGACTGAAGAATGAGATATTTAACAGGAAAAAAATTTATCTTAGCAAATTTCAGTAGTTTCTTTCAAAAATGTCATACCTGTTCCAACATTTTGAAATCATATAAAATAGCTCAAAATAGGATACAAGGTTAGATCGAAATAATAAACTATAGCTGCAAAAAGGAAAAGTGTTTCACTGCTTATAAAATAGAAGGACAAATCACGTTTGACAAATAAGTCTATTTCTGCCATTGATATCGAAAGCCGTCACTGTGACCTACACTTATTAAAATATCCCTGCACGAATCAACGTAAGTGATATCCTAAAAACTGAAAAGAATAAATAAAAAACGAAAGAACAAATTCATAACTTCAAGCAAATAATATTTCGTTCAGTAGCGAATCTCTAGTGCACGATCACAGCAATCAAACATCATTTATTTCAGTAAAGTTATACAAGATTAAAAAATTAGATGCATAAATTAAAATAATGGACCAAAAATCATACTGAATAGAGTACACGTGAAGATCATGATATTAAAGTATTATTTATAGGCTTGCCCGAACAGATCAAATTAAGAATCCGCAACAATTTAAGTGGCTAAATGTGGTAAAAACTTATACAATGCAGTAAACTGCAAAAATATTCAAATTACTAATACAGCGCAAGATTCTAGAATAGCGAATTAGAAAAAAAGGCGGATGACAAAAACATAGTTTTAAAAACATAGGATATGCCATTCCACAATATAAAACATTCATATTTATCAACTTGTACAACGAAGGAATGATACTATTTCATTTTTGAAATGGTATCATTCCTTCATTGCACAAATTGTGAAAAGTAACATTCGAAATAAGAACTTGCTTGCTATGATCATACTTTATGTTCAAAAAAAAACAGAAAGGATAAAAAGTGATCTGAAAGTTCATTAGTTTGAAAAGTCCCGTATGAAATACAAATTGGTAACATTGAGATGTTTCACCATGTTAATTAATCTTTTCGAGACTATAGTTTGCTATAAAAATTTTTTCATTCCCGCATAAAAAGATAATTGCTGTAGAATTTTCGAATCAACGTTGCATGTCATTTCTTATTAGCTCGACCTCTGCCAGTGGATCCGCGGATAGCGCGTCCTCTATGGTTACCGACACCGTAAGCTTTCCCACTACTTGTTTCTGAAAAATATTAATATTAGTAATAACTTTTTTATAGAATAGGCAGACTCTTATATTTTAAGTAAAAAATCCACAAATTTCAAGGAGAGAAAATACTCTCTTACACTCTCTTACAAGAGCCGAAAAACAACTCCCTTGCTTACTTTTATTCCCACTGGTAGAACTGCTTTTTTTCTTTATGACTCCAGCAAATTTATCGTCATTATTGCTTTCTTCACTGGAATCTTCCAAATCATTTTCATCACCAATTTGCTCGACTAAATTACCTTCTTCATCTACTTCGAGACCTAAATCTAAATCTTAAGATTAATTTTTATAGATAAAAACTCTCGATTGCAATAAATGTCAGCGGAATCCGAACACTCTTAAATCTACAGCGAAGACATTTTATTCCTCTAATGCTTGCATGACTGATAACATTTGAAAAACAGGCCAGATGGCCACCAGATATACTGCATTGCTATAAGAATTCAGTAATTCTTCAAATCACAAAAACTCACTTCCTCCTAATTTCTTTCGCCCCTTTATTAAGGTATCCAGCGCATAAGGTAAAATAATATGTTCCTTATTCAAAGTTCGTGTCAGAGTTGCTTTGACCTGAAAAAAAAGAATGAAAGATTAAATGTTGCATGAGGTAGATAATAATTGATTACATAAAAAAAGTTAAGACTTTGACAATAAAATAAGAAATACCTTAGCTGGAATAGCAGCTCCTGGATCCTTCATACCCGGCCAAACAGCCAATTCAGCAATTGATTCGATATCATCTCTGACCAAATTGTATTCTTTGTACAGATTGATAACATCACTAAAATTCTCTAGTGAAGATAAAAAATAGATTGCTTTCAAAACGATTTACAGGCATTCAAGCATTAAATATCCCAAATAACAATGCTGTTTTTCAGATTAAGTCCATGTGAAAAAATCAACATGCAATATGCTCTGCATTCGCGACCAGATCAAGTACGGCAATAGAAACAAGTAGTTCAAATGTTTAAAAACACTAACTTTACACCGTCATTCTCTTTATCCAACAGTGGACGGCAGTAGTTCTGTCGTAGAACAGGAACATAATCAAGTACCACAGGGAATACGGCAGCAAATGTTCTAAATCCTTATCATATGATGACAAAAACTGGATAGATGTAAAACGCAGAAAGACATATTCACAAAATTAAAATACTATTTCTAGATGATCCTTTTTGAGATTCTCAAGATTTACATAAATTTAAACAATTATACACGACTACCGGTTGACTGATATGTAAATAACAATAATAATTCAAACATTATTTCATCACTTATTTTACTAGATAACTAGTGAAACCTGTATGTTAAATAATATGAAAGGTTGCATCAAGTTTTCAGCAGCTATTGATGAGAAATGCTTCCAGAATAAGTCATCACTTACGCAGGTTTCATTTTTTTTCCGTATTTTTCAGTTATAGATATTCCATCACAAAATTTTACCTTAGATAAGTGTGAGTTGTCAGCTGGCGCAACAATCTCTGACGTTTGTTGAATGTTGAATTCCTTCCTAACCAAGAAGGGAAATTAATTACTCCTTTCATATAACCATTCATGTACGAAGTTGGTACTACACATGAAAACAATGCCTATAAATAACATATGTTTGAAAAAATATATGTTTGAAAAAGTATATTATATTTAGTGTTTCTTTTGATTTACAAAGAAATAAAGAAAGACTTGTTGGTGGAGATACCTTCAAAGTAGATATAAGCTGTGACTACAGTTGTTTTTAAATAAAGGAAATCAACAACCAACTTGTTCAATAAGCAGTGTCCATGCTCCTGTTGTTCGAATAATTCGATCAATTATATCACCCTCTGAGATACTGTTTGCAGCTTTTCTCAACGCATATAATCGTTCACTAGTGCTGTAACTTATAAAACATAGCTATTCAAATGAATTATAAAAATTTGGAAAATTCAATTCATGCATTTATCGTTACATGAAAAGAACAACAAATGATAATTTTTAAAGCACAGCAGTTCATTCCGAAAAATCAAAATGCTATTTTATCAGATAAAGAAGAATGGTTCATTTTACTTTAGCATAGAAATTATAAGTCGATAAGATTTTTTTAACGCTGTTTGACATGACGCGGAAACTGCATAATCGTTTTAATCGATAGCATAACAGCGTACAGATTAAAATATTTAGTAGAAGGTTATCTAATGTTCATTTTAATTTTCCTTTTTTTTCTTGAAAATTACCTCATCTTCGAGTTCTGTACAAATGGATAATTTTCCTGTACAAAAAGTGGCATAATTGAAGGATCAACGAAAAACATTTGCTGTTTCTCCCATGTTTGTGTATTGATGTTTAAAAGACAACGAGCAGCTTCAAAAGGATTCTATAATAAAACTGAACTGATTACTTATATATTTCATTTTTATTCTCAACCAGATTTGTTTTACCCTTCTATTTCGATGGTATGCGCTCACGTACCTGATTAGAGTATTATTAATATCCACACTATAATTAACCGAATGTTTTAAATATACTCATTTTCAGGAATAGAAATTCAAAGAAAAAGTTTGGGATTGACCTATCAAATATAAACAAAAATATTCCATACACTCCAGTATAAGCATTCATCTTTAAAACAACAATTTCTGGAAACTAGTTAAAAATAAATATAAATCAAAACTATTTTTACGATTATTTCTATAATCAAACTTTTTGTCTGATAATATCGATAATTTTGAAATAAAAAAGGTTAAAATATTTTCTTAAAGAATGATGCTTTTAAAATTATTGAACTAAAACTTACAATAGCAGCATCTTTGCTCTGCAACTGTCCTCCATTTGCGCCTGAACTTGACAGTTGCAAATTATAAATTGACTGACGAACATCATGCTGCGAGGCTTCAATAATTTCATCAATTGCTTCCTTCTCAATTTTCAAATGTTCCTGGCATGCGATGGTAAGCAATCTTGCCTAAAAGACAAAATCAGATGCATGAAAAGAAGACATTTGAAACGAATTTTTTCGTGAATCATATTCTTTATCGATATGAAGAATACTGGATTCGTCAAATTACATAGTGCTATTTGAACAGAACAAAGCCTCCGATTTAGCTTTCTGCTTACCTCAGTTCCTTTTTCTTATTCCTCATCTTGACTATCTAAAAATATCGCTTGAGGTAACCGTTAAGTCTACAAATTTTAAGCCTCATAAATTGCTGAGACTTTAAAAAAATTCAACTGAAGCTGTAGAAATTGTGGAAATTATCCTAAAATATCAAATGCTCAAAAAAGAACTTAACCCTTATCTGTTCAATGCGTGGTCGCTGAAAGCGCACATCAAAACAATAATTCATTAATGAACGCATCTTTTGTGATTGCCGATCATTACATATACAAATTATTGGTATCAATGTTTCCTTGATCATTTGTATTAATTCAGCAATCTGTAAAAAACATACTAAGGAGTCCAACAAATCTATAGAGATTCCGATATTATCTGGAAATTAAACTTCTTATTGAAAAATTAAAGTTGTCTGACAGTCAATTCAAAGAATAGTTGGAACTATCTAGTTTCTGATTCATCAATACCAAATTTCTGGTTTTGATACCTATCAATCGATTCTTTCAAAAACGAATAATGAAAAGTCACCTTTTGTAATTTCAAAACTTACCCCTGCTCGATCATCATTTCCACTCATGCCATCTACTTCATCCATAATCAGCACATGTGTTATTTCGTTAGATATATTCACTGCAATAAAATGAAAAAAATGTTTCATCATCATCTTTTCAGATGCTCCAAACTGTATATTTTTAGCTATTTAACTTCACTAAAGCCTTTTTCTCCAGAATTTTTTATTTGGTAGAATTTACTTTTACGTGTGGCTGAATCCTTTATGTAATCGTCGATTTGTTCACAACCAATTACTTCCGATGTTTGTGCTTCTAACGCTTTTTTATTTCTCACATCCGACGCATTTTTCTCCACGTATCGCAGTTTAAGTTCTTTACAAGCTAATACAGCACATGTCGTTTTACCGACACCTTGAAGAGAATGTAAATTTAAAAATTTAAATTAGGGATAAAATCTAAATATTTCTTTATAAATTCTTTCATGATAACATAAATTAAAATTAAATTTTTGCCTTAGATGCTTGTGAAGAACAAAAGGAACATAAAAACTAACCAGGTGGACCACTAAGCATCACTGCTTTGAAAGCTGTGCCATCATTCTGCGCTAACCAGGGAGGAGGTCGCGCTATATTTATTTAGACTTTAGTATACGCAAAGAATATGAGATAAATCAATGAAATTTTCTTAATCTCGTAGTATAAGAAAATCAAAACA